CAATACAGTGATTTATTATTATAACACTATCGCCTAAGTACTTACCGTTTTATTTTTCTTTCGTCTTCTTTTTTTATACATCCTATTTTTTTGTATCTCGATGTACTTTAATTATTCGTTCAGGTACGCTTTTCGTTTAGGGTAGAAGTCTGAAAGGAAGAGTGACGGCGGGAGGGAGGGAAGGAGGAAGAGAATCACATCCTGACCGGTTTCCGTTTCTTTTTGTTTTTGGAGCTCAAAGTAATCAAAAGAAGTAAACGGTTAGTGGATTTCAAGATTGTGGAGAATTCGGTTCCGACGTGAAAAAGTATAAACGGATTTCGTGTCCGTGAAGGAGACATTCCAGTGTCTCGTTCGAACGAAGGAGACTAGGGGCATTTAGAATCGTTTTCACGAAAAGGCAGCAGTTACACGCAGGGACACTGGAATTAGGGGATGTGTTTTAGGTGCACCGCGTGCCAAATTGTAAACGTAACAACCGCGTTGCCTGCGAGTTTCGACAGTATATCGTGCACGCTTCCGTGGTTGTGTTTGTACATATTGTCGCCGATCGATTCCTGGATCAATGTACGACTGCGTGTATATTACGTGAAAGTATCCTTATTCGTTTTACAATGTATCTGCCTCTGTAAAGATACAATTTATTATAATATCTGTTGTGATTACCAAACTGTTTTCCTCGTTCTTTCTGGCCTTCCCCGTTTTCTTTGTTATTTAAGAACAAGATGATGTATCATTTTGAATTGTACGTTATTTTTTTATTAATATAAACATCGAAACGTTAATATAACAACGATCATACGTATTTATATATGGCAGTCCATGATTCGGTTGTTCGACTTTATTTAATACAGAAATTAATATCTATCTCTTTTCCGCCGTACAAATGGGAATTATTATAGTGCAGCAAATATCCTGAACGAACGACCATTTATTGTCCATTGGTTTAATAAAACGGTAAATCGAAAGAGAATTGAATTAATTGAGTTTTAAATCATTGAAACATTCTATTCATTTTAAATAAATTCTGCTGGTGAATAAGATTTCTTTAACTGCATGGCTTCTCATTTGTGAATTGTAGAAGTATAGAATTTATATTGATTATTGAATACTATTGATAATTTGTTTTTATTTTAATTAGGATCAATATTGTGATTTAAGTTAATATCAATGGAAACTAGTCAAGGTCACTTAATTTCTTTTATAATCTATACGTAAATAAATTCACGTTGCTGTCAATAACCTTAATCTTTCTTCTTGAAACTTCATTCGAGTCTCGGACAAAATTTACAGTAAAAACAATAGTCGTCAAGAAACATAGAAATTTTGGTTGAAATTGGAAATTAATTGGTAAGATGACTACACTTGAGGAAGCATTGGCAAAATACCTTCCCAGCGTGCCTTCTCGTTGTTCCTCGAGAATCGTCTGTGATTTCGAGTGCCCGCAGTGTCTTAATATTCGTCCACCTGTCACCGGTACTTCCCCTGTTCGTTTTCAGCTCACTTATACATGTGACAGGTAATTTAAAATATAATTGGTAAATATAAGTAAGAAATAAACAAATATTAACCCGTGATTTCTAACAGTGCGACGTATTCGCCGTGCTATTTTCCACGTCCAATAAATTGCCCTCCTCCCAAATTTCTCCCAGTGAATAAAATTAATTGTTCTCTGAAGTGGATTGATTGCTGTGGCAGACCTGTACCTGAATGTTTTCGTTGACCTGATATTCTGGTATTTACGTATTGTCCTCTATTCATAATATAAAATAAAATTGAATAATTTAAGGAAGAAATTACTAGGATCATGAATTTCACTTACAGAAAAACTCTATTCGATTGAATACTTTTAAAATTGTTATAATTAAACAAGAAACCAAGATTGTAAAATTATATGTGTTTTTGCACGAATTCATCTATTTAAATAGTTTTCATATAAATCTTAATGCATACGTATTTTCTGCGAAATGTGTAATTTTACATATTTTTAATTAACTCGTGTACGAGAATTACACAACAAAATACAGATAAATTGGAGTTTTTATTTTAATTTCGTCTAAATGAATCAGCCGATAGAAAACTTTTAATTTCGCGTGAATAACTAAGTTTACAGCTCTGAATGTATCAAATATAAAAAACAAAAGAAAGGTAGCCAATTTACAGAGAATTTGAAGTTATGTTCACTGCATCATTTTGGCTTAATGCAATTACCAAATTAATACATTTCTCGTAACACCTTTTTAAATTATTGTCCGCTCACATAATGATCCCTGCTGGAACTTGTCTTCGCGTCTGCAGTATTGTCCGCAGTTTCGAGTACGAGTAAAATTGCAACATGGAAATGTCTTGTTGTTCTTCTCCAGAGAAGAAACAGCGAACCAGTACCTTGCCACCACCGTGTTGTCATGGACCTAAACCCAGTATCTACATCTGGCCAAAGTACGGTTGTCCTCCTCCGCAAGAATGTCCACCACCCAAGTGTCGTTGCCCTCCTCCTCCGTGTCCACCCTTGGTACGTACACGTTTCATTTATTAAATCCAGTTAATCACATTTACTGTTACGGTGAGAGTATAAAATCTACAATATAAATTTGTAACGATAATAAATAATGTATTTTCTTTTTAAGTAAACTATAAACATAGATTAATCCTTTAATTGCTCTCATCGTCTATAAGCAATAAAAGGAAAGTAATATATAACACTTATTTATTCAATAAATAATTAACAATTTATTTTTTCATCAATCAAAAAGGAAACTGAATCAGTTGAGATTATAAATACCAAACCTAGTAAGAAATAATTGTTACACTTGCGGGGGATGAAGTATTAAATTAATTGTGCATTTAAAAATTTAACTTCTACTTTTTATTTTTTTCTAAAATGTCCAAATATCCAAAATGTCTATTAACCCATTCGCTACCAGCATTTCTTTCAATAGCAGTCTCCGGGGCGATAATATTTTGTTAAATAAAACATATCGCCTTTATAATATACAAATAGTATTCAAGAAAAAAAATCTTCGTAGCTTCCTGCACATTATACCATGCGTTACAATATTAGATGAAAACACACATAAATGTAATTTATTCTTGTTTACACAAAGCACGAAATACTAATGGTTAAAATATAAAAATCTAGAAAAATATTAAAATGACTAAATTTAAAGAATTCCAATTTAACCCCTTGCCCTACAATATCGTACCAGGCTCGTGGTGAAGATTTCAAATAGAATTTAACAAACATAAATATTATTTAATTTGTTTGAATAAAAATTACATATTATTCCTCTCTTATCGATTATTACACCTTCAAGCACACGTTGACATGTAATAAGACTGGAATTTTCTCTTATTTTCGATAAATTCTTAATAACGAAGTAGTTAGATTAATATCAGTGGAGAAAGAAATCATAGGGCAAGGGGTTAACGAATTTGTGACGCTGATAGCGAACGTGTTAATAATGGAACGATAAGAAAAAGGTTTTTATAGACATGTAGACCACGACCAGAACCACCAACCCGACCACCAACCATCTGCATCCCTGCACCATGTCCGTCACCTCCTCCGCCAGTTCCGATTCGATGCCCACCACCACCTAAAACTACCAGCGTGTCTCGCGTGCAATTTTGTATTCGTAACGTGTGCGGGTATTGCACTTACGCCCCTTGTTACTTTTCTAATCCTCCAAAGTGTCCCTGTTTGAATTGTTGTTGAATTTTAATCGCAGAAATTATATTTTGTGGTAAAATGATTTCATTTTTTAATACATTTTTCTTATACTTCAGTGCAATCGTGCTGCCTTTCATGGAAAAGAAGTTTTTCTCGTCACTACTTCATTGGGTTGTTTAGAAAGTCTTGACATTTCTTGATATTTGTATTAAGATACGGAGATGAATATTATAAATAAATAAATGAATTGATAAATGGCGGAGAGTTGTTGAAAAAAATAAAAGAACGTACACTTTAGTGCTGTTTAATTTAATAAAGGGAAATTTACCTTTAAGTTTTCATCAAAAATAATGAAAATGTGTTTACTAACACAATATATCCATTATGTTCTTTTTCGAAATTGAAAATGTTGTGAGAAGTGGAGTATCCGATTTCAGATTTTTACTATTTTGGACTCAGAAATTTACGAAACACGATATTCGTCGACTGAAAATTTCAAACGAATTTTCACGAATGGGACATAAGCCATATTATATTTCAATGATATCGGCTGTGCTATTATATTTCAATAGCAATTATAACCGTTTTTAGACAAAGTGTCAAAAACAAATTGAGACGGTCACAAAATTCAGTTTTTTATGTCAAAAATATACCTAGTTTAAATGTTTTGGATTTATAATAACTGAGATCTGAATATTGATATAAAACTCGATAAATTTATAACAATAATTTATATGGTTTATTAAGGGGTTTTCCAGTAACAAAGGAAATACATATTTTATTAAACGATATTTAAATGTATTATTTCATTATGTATGTATAAAATTTGCAATTTGACATGCGGCGTATAATTAAAGAAATTAAATATTTGTTACAATTTATTTTCGCCAATATTGAAAGAAATGAGACGCATTAATCACCATTTTTTAAGTGGAACATTAATATTTATAAGAATAAATATTATCTTTTGTTTTATATGTAACATATAAAGTAAAAATTTAAACAATCATTAATCGAACCGTTGCAAAATGTTATTGACAACTTTCATTATCATTTACCTTACGTAGAAACTCAAGAATGTATTAATGTACAATATATAGTTAATTAGCACGTTTCTTTTAATACCGGATCAATAGTACATTTTACTTTTAATTCTCGTTCTACATATCATTTTTATTATAATTGTGTTATTTAAATTAAATAAAATAAATTTAATTAAATTCAGTAAAATTAAATTGTTTCTTTCAAAATTGGTACACGTACAAATGCATCAGTATTGTTATCACTAACAGTGTATTATATAAGGACAGTTCTGTCTTCTCGAGATCATGTTAAGCAGTTTCGCCATTGCTCGCCATTATAATAAGTAATACATCCTGGGACGATGTAACGGTAATGTCGACGAACGCTGAGGATTGCAGATTATCCAACAGTCGCTGACTCGCTGTTCTCCCTTTGTGCTCGGATTATTGCAGGTTGTATCTCTGCGCTGGCTCGTTGTCGTTTGCATCGTTCGAGTCATTGAAAATACAAGGCAATAAAGTCTTTACGGTTATCAGGGCAACTTGGTGAATAAAAACATACCTTGATTGTTTATTCTGCTTGCTTTGGTACATTCGATCAGAATATTACTTTCCATTCCGTTTTATTAAGTCGGCGCTTACAAATTGCTGTTTCATTCAAAGAAGTTGAAAAGTACACATTTATATAAATTTCGCTCTTAAACCAGTTCAGCTCATTCCAGTTTTATTTTTCTTTTAACAACGATTAACTTTTTAGACGCCTTGTAAAAACCAGATAGCAAGTTATCTATGAAGATTAATGTTTTTTAAAGATACGAACTTAATGTTGGAGAAAGTAATGCTGTACATTATTGTTTTATATTTAATTTCGACGTTTTTCACATGAAATATTCAACATTTTTTTATAAGATATAGACGACATTCTTTGAAATTAATAAGAAGACATACATAAATTAACAAACAAAACTATTTTATTGCAATATTTTACGTATTGATGTATTGTACAAAACTTAATATTATATATAAGACTTTCTAATTTTTCTATATCAAATCAAGTGGTAACTGAGAGTCACCTGTCGAGTGCAAAGGGTTAATATAGGAATACAGAAATAATATTTACGATATCGATCAAATGTATTTTGGTTAAAATTTTAATATGAAAGAGCACAACTAATTAGTAAAAATATTATATTTTAATGTATCTCTGGTGTTATCTCTCTATGAAATTTGTTTGCAACGACTTAATACAGACTTTTTTGAATATTTCATTCAATTACCCATGAGCAACACCCATCAAGAATCTCAGTGGAACAGGAAGAAAAAAAGAGGTGAGGGCATCACTGGCAACCGAATGGAAAAATTCTCGGTATCTGGTCATTGTCTTGTCTGCGTACCCGAAGACCCACGAAGACTGCACCCTTGTGTTTTGTATCTAGTTACGTCCATCTTCCTTACCCGCTTCATATTATACGGATTACATTATTCATGCTACCCTTTATCCGAACCGTTCTTCGACGAGGAGGAACAATCGAGTGCACGGGACGGGGACAAAAGTAGACGACGCCTTCGACGATTTAACGAAGCAATTTAAGCGTCTGAGTTGTCTGTTCTGTGCGTAAAAAAACAATTTGATACGGCAAGCTAACAATAATAGAAGCATGCTGACTTGCATTAGACTGAATTCTTGTGATTCGTTTTTGTATTTCTCAAGGAATCAATGCTGTACATATTTTTACTACGTTAATTATTAACATAACATCTACAGATATTTTTGTCCTGAATTGTTTCGTATAAAGAATTGTTGTAATATATTTGAGAAAAGTAAACAACACAGAAAACAGCAAAATAGCAAATCACAAAGAAGATAGTCCCACTCTAAAATTCTTTAAAATATTTATATTTATTAAGATTTTCGTTTAACAAATGTCAACCAATGAATCTAGAATTATAAAATATCGTTTCAAACTTGTTATATAAATGGTTGCATAAAAGTACGTGGCAGTAACATAAAAATGTAAATCTAATATTTCTCAATTTTTTCGCGTTCCATTTTTATTTATTTCCAATTATTGAAGAGCTATGTCTCGTTCGAGTTGCACGAGAAAGTATACAAGAAATAACGCACAAATCGTATTAAATCTCAAGAAATCGGGATCTAATAAATTGTAGATATCAATATTACTCAAGTAATTTATGCAATTATCATAGTTTTTGTAACAGTTTCATAGTTTTTCGAATTTGATCTTCTTAATATCGTACACTTCCGATACTTTCCATAAGTAATTACTCGGAATCCCATTAGGTGAAGTCCGATCGTGTTGAAGGGTTGCATTCACGTGGCACACGATGTTCTTAGGAAAGCGATTTATAGTTCGAAGGAGCTGGTCATGGTGGATATCAAGTATATAAGTTAGAATACGTCCTGAATGGCAGAGGGTTCGTTTTAACGTCCCCGTGACCCGCTGTACCTTTCGCTCTCGCGCCATTATACTCCCGGCTTCCTATTTGCTGTAGACTGTTATTTTAGTTCTAATAACGGAGAGTGCTCATCATGCTTGGATGAGTTGGAGAAATGTGTGAACGGACGCTGTAATGCATGCACGTGTAACGTGAGAAAGCGAATGGACTGTTTCTGTCGCGAGCAAGTAAGTCAAACAATGTTGGCGGCGAAATCCCTTTCGTCGAATGAAAATGTCCAAAATATCGGTCCCCCATTACCGTCACTGTTTTTCCTATGCACTGTTCTTTAAGGGTACGAAAATAGTATATGCAGTTCAGGGGCTGAATTGTGAATTACTTTATAAGTGCAAATGACTTTTGTGCCTTTGTTGTTAATAAGATGATAAACATTAGTATACTATTGACCAGAACGTAGAGATCAGGAATCAACCAGCTTCAGGACAGAAATGAATACGTTTACTTTAATATTAATTAGAAATTAATGAAAAACTTGAAATTGAATGAAACTTTTATTGAAAATTTTAATTGAAATATTTTTATTGCTTTTTTAATGGTTTAGATAGCTTAGATTTACCATTTCTTAAGTTTGTTGTTATTAAAATAATTTACGCAAATATTTATTCTTAATTTAGTTGGAAGTTTGGTTTTCTATAAATATCTTAAATATATTATAATAGTGATAAATGTATAGAGAAACAATGGTAAAATAAAACGGTGATCAGTGTATGTCATCATCAATGCTGAAGAAGCTTCACGTGCATTGAATCCATTCAGAACAGAGCCATAAAAATGAATACACGCGACAGGCACTTCATGGTCCGTAACGAAACAGAGATAGGTATGAACGACTCTTTCTATGGATAATTGAACCGATCTTGCCGTTCTTCATAATTCGGTCGACCAGAACCTCTTTACCGATTCGGCATACGTAGCGTATTATTATGCAAAGTACTAGCAGTTCCAAGGATAACGAGCGATAAGCAAGAGATCAAAACTGAAATCGAGCTTCACACCTTGTTGATATTAAGGCATAACTTTATCTTCTTTTCAAACAATGAATTATCGATCGTATAACTTTAAGATGCTATTAAAATATCGAGGAATAATTAATAATAGCCAATTTTCTAAATAGTTTATCGATTATAAAATAACTTTTACCTTCTGATCTTATAAAACCTTTAAATCTCAAAAACTCCATGCAACTTCTTTCTCAATTGATCAAATTATTATATTCGATGCAAATCAAATTTTAACGGTGACATTGACTTGAATAATTGATTATGAAGAAAATATAATAATTTTACAATGTTATATGTGGGTAGTAGGGTGCGAAATGACTGACCAGTTTTAACGAAAACTCTTATTTATTACTCAACACTTATAAGATACGCGGAAAGATTTCCGTCTGACCTAACGCCAGAACGAATGGACGTGAAGTGAGATGTGGCTATCACGGCAGCTTCCATTTAACGTCGCTTCACCCCCACATCTTTGTCCGCAGACAAAGATATGGGGTACATGGAAATTCCCATGATTTCGTTCGGAAAAAGGGAGGTTTTCCCCCACGTGCGGAGCTAGGTAGTTTGTTTGTTTCATCGCCCGTTTTAGGGCTCGACAATTTAACGCACCCGCACGGGACTGCAATGCTGATGTTTGCTTACCCGTGCTACCTGGGCTAGAGCATCCGCACGACAAGAAAACCTTTCCTGTGTCCCGTTATGCCGCCACATTATAGAAAAATTTGAATTGCGTTGAAATCTCAGTCGTCAGTTAAGAGTTAAACGTTAAATAATAAACGTTAAATATTACAAGAGAAGTATCTATGTTTGTATACTACGGTTTCTATACCACTCAACTTTGTTTCCGTGAAACACAAACACGACTCTGGCAATCTTATATAAGCTTGAACGCAAAGAAAATCGTTCGCTCCTCTTCGGTAAACTTTTGCCGGTGCTCTTCTAAGAGCGACAGGAAATTGCAGTGGTTATTTACAATGCCAGCGAAGTCGTTCTTTGTCTTCGATGGTCTTGGTGGAGTGTTAAAAATCCAGCC